GCTTGCTCTCTGGAGCACATGGGCTGTGAGTTCTCTGCTGAGGCCCCCAGTGCCACTGGCATGGGCGTATTGTCTCCAGCAACAGCCAGTGCTCCTTATCATAGTTGGTTTTTAATTTTTTTATTGAATATCTGTGAGATAGATCTCTCGGATATTCTTGTTTTCTTTCTCTCTCTCCTTTTGTGCATTACGGTTTGCAGTACAGGTACTAAGAGGTCATGGTGTTTGCTCAGGGCATTCAGTATCTTTGTCAGGATGGTAAGGCTGGAGTAGCTTTTTAACTGGGTAGCAGCTTTGGGGTGTGGATGTGACTGCCAAGGCTTCCGGAAGTACAGGGAGGTGGCGGGGAGATAGGCCATCCTGACACCGAAAAAGCCTGGAGATTTCAGTCACAAAACCCACATACCCAAATTTTCAGCAGATTATTATCTCAGTGAGGTTTGTCCTGAGATGGTAGAGTCCAGCCAGGGCATGGCACAGATGCAGTCCCTTCTCGGGAAGCTCTTGTCTGCAGTCACCATCAGCTCACGACTCTTGGAGATGCCTTGTGCCTGCCAGGATGCTCCAAGTCTGGGGAGGACATGGAGGAGTGAGCCTGTTGGGGTGTTTTGCTCAGAGGCAGGTGCCCTCTGCGCCCTGTAAGGAGTCATGTTTAATAAGTCCCTCCCAAGCGGGAGAACTAGTTACAGGGCTGATGACTCCTGTTTGCTTCCCAGCCCTACATGTGGCCCCTGAGCATGGCCAGGGATCACTCCTGAGCACAGAGTCTGGAATCATAGTCCCCGAGCATTGTAGGGTATGGCCCAAACAACTCTCACCTCAAAAAAAAAAAAAGAATTTTGTCATCACTTGCCACCCTCCCCTTGAGCGCCAGTTTAAAAAACCCCTCCCCACCCAAAAAAAAGTAAATGCAGCTCCTGCTTCATGGGCCAGTGAGAACACGCGCTCTGTGGTATAAAGCTTGGAGCACATGCAAAGGATTCACGAGTCTCCTCACCATCCTGCTCTCCTGCCAGCTTTTATTTCGGGATCTGACACCCTCTGCACGAGTAAGCTGTTGACATTATCACTGCTGATGAGATGGGAGAAGGATGTCTGGCCACTGCCTGTGAGGTCAGGGTCAAAATACACACCTATACAAACCCGTACACACACACCATCCCGTGATAGCAGGGTCAGAATACACACACACACACGTATACACACCTATGCATGCACATATATAAACACACTGATACACACAATCCTATGATATCAGGGTAAAAATACACATACACACACACACCCATATACCCATACATACACACTGTGATATCATTGTCTAAATACACAAACACACATACACATACATACTGTGATATCAGGGTCCAAATAGTCACATGTGCACACGCATACACACCTACATTCACATACCATCCTGTGTTAGCAGGGTCCAAAGCACATATACATACATGCACATGCGCGCGCGCGCACACACACACACACACACACACACACCATCGTATGATATTCAGGGCCTAAATACACATACCTCACACACAGCCACACACGTTTTGCTGGTCAGCCTGTGTGAAAGCAGGGCAGTGACCTGAGGGTCCGGACCGGGAGTGGTATTTGCAGAGGCGTTTGCTCTGCTGCGTGAAGCCTCCTGGCGTGGGATAGGCAATGTCGCCCTCTGGTGAGCATGGCGTGCAGTAGCACCCTGCCCCCCTGAGAATAGGCTGGTGCCTTGCTGTGACAGGGCAGGTAGCTCTCTCTCTTAAGGCCCACCTGAGGCTAAGACCTTCCCTGCCGAGCTTGAAAACACTCAGTCCTGTTCAGGGAATGTTCTCCCCCATGGTGCTCCTGGCCCTGAATTCCCAGAGATCTTTAAAGAATGGGACCAGGCCTCCCTTTCCCTGGACTTCGTGGTACTGGGAATGGAACCCCCTCTGCAAAATTCGGGTCCTGCCGTGTCGGGGATTGAACTCGGGGGATTGAACTCGGGGTCTCGCATACACTAGGTAGGGGCGTCTCCCGGGCCCAGAATAAGTCTTTCAAAGGAAAATATCTGAGATGATATATACGTTTTCCATGTATATTTAATTCCCATCTGCCTAAATGTAGATCTACGTTTGTTACACAATAATTAGAAGATTCCCAGTACAAAGCTCCTAGAACCCGTCTTGGCCTTGCACCCCGTTCTCCACAGAGCCCCTAATCCAGCAGGGCGCACGCTTGCGCGATGCTGATGCAGGCGCGGTCCCAGCGAGGGAAGCTGGTGCGTGGGCGCGAGGCTCTCCAGGCCGGCGCTGAGCAGGTGCGGCTCCAGCTCGGGGATTGAGGGATGCTCCACGCCCACCCCAGGCAGCCCCGCACACATGACGCTCCGCAGTCTAAGTCAAGTGCGCTCCGCCCACCACTGCTCATTCCTCGAGCAGCCTTCGAGTGGGACTGCGTGAGGCTTTATCCTCCGCTGCCGCAGGAACTAACAGGGTTTGGGTGAAGATAAGGGCGGCAGCCGACAACTGTACCTTCTCATACACGCCAAGTGTGTCTGCTGGGAACTGGTCAGAAGAGCCGTAGGGCAGCGGGGAGGGCCTTTGCCTTGCATATGACCAGCCCGGGGTTGATCCTCAGCATCCCATACGGTCCCCGGAGCACCGCCAGGGGTAACTCCTTAGTGTAGAGCCAGGAGTAACCCCTGAGCATCACCAGGTGTGGCCTACAAACAAACAAACAAACAGAAATGCAGGAATTAATGCACTTGCCTTGCATGCAGCTTACCTGGTTTCCCCCTGGCACAGCACTGAGCCCCCAAGAAACGCAAGGACTGAGCCCTGAGCACCTCTACCTGTGGTTCAAGAACAAAAACTAAGAAACCCCAATCTATCACACCTACTCTATGTGCTAGTTTTGTCTAAAATCTCTTAGAGAAGTCTTTAAAAGGTACACATAACAGTTAAAATCAATTATAATAATAAATGTTTCCTGACCTCTTATGATATGCCAGGTACTAAGCTCTTAGCACTTGACCTGTCTCCTTTAGCCCCCACAAAAATGTCCATTGTACTGATGCGGAAACAGACTTGGCCAGAGTGTGCATCTGGCAAATACCAGTCAGGATTTGACTGCAGACCCAGCCCATGACGGGGTCCCTGTTCTGTGTCACGCCACCTCTTTGGTTAAGAATCGTTGAAGAATGAATGATCCTAAATCACGTGCAAGCGTTGATGACGTTTCTGAAAATTACAAAAGCATTTTGAAAGGCAGGTTGATGAAATATCTTAATTAAATATTTTGAGCTCTTCCCGTGCTTTGAAATGATTGTTTATTCCCCAGCCGATTATGCTGACAAGCCTCATTATTCCTCATGCTTGATGAAAAATGGCATTGGTCCTGAGGGTGGTATTGGTGGTTATCGGCCCTCATGGCCACACGGGGGCAGCACCAGACAGCACCCTCTGCTGGTAGGGGGCAATTGGGTAGGGAATTGGAACCCCATCTCTACCTACCACCTGCAAAATATGTACTTTGAGCCATCTTCCCGCCCCCCTCTTAAAACAATGTTCTTAATGTAGGGTGCCTGTGCAGAGTGATTTTCATTTCTTAGCAGAGATGCCCTTAATTTCCATTGGAAATGCATGTTCTCTGTCTCAAGGGACAAAAGGCAGCTAGTATTTTTCTGTCTTCCTTCTAGTTAATAAATTATCTTGAGTATTCATAGTTGGTGAGAATTTTCAGTAAGCAATTAGAGATGGTCAGAAAATTTTTAAGGTCATCCCACAATAACCTTGGTTTCTTAAGGTTTAGTGGTACGAGGACATACTACAATAATAATTTCTGAGGCTTGTGATGCTACGTCCACACACTCTTATCTCGGTCTGCCTCTGAATCTCCATTCAGCAGAATGCACTAAAATTTTGACAGAAGGGACTAGACTGATGTATTATTCCAACTCACCTTTGGGAATAAAGTCGGGGTAGGGGTGCTGCTTTTGCCAAAGCAACAAACAGAAACCAGGATTTTCCTGCGCTCTGCCAGCCCTTGCCCTGATCACCTCCACTGACTTACTGTGTCTTTCTAGGTGTGTAACAAGCCATAGGCCTCTCAGAGTTGCGTTTTTCCCTTCTTTATTTGTGAGGGGCAGGCAGGGGCACTCCCAGCTGCTCTCCAGAGCTCCCTCGTCACGGGCGCTCAGAGAACCTATGTGGTGCTGTGGGTCAGCTTCAAGCAAAGCAAATGCCTTGCTCCTATACACATTCCTCCTCCCTCCCTCCCTCATTTCCTCCCCCCCATTCTTTTCTCTCTCCCTTTCCCCGCTCCCTCTTCCCCTCCATCAGGGCTATATTTCTTGCTATGAATAAAGAAATCGCATTAGGGCGGGGGTGATAACCCACTACCTTGCACACAGCCAAACCCAGGTTCAATCCCAGCATCACATATGGTCCCTATAGCCCACCAGGCATGATTCCTGAGCTCAGAACCAGGAGTAACCCCCTGAGCAGCTCTAGGTGTGACCACAATACTCTCCCCCCCAAAAAAAAAGATGGAAAGAAGGAACCTCCTTATATAAGTAATGGGGCCTTAAAAAGGCTTAAGCTTCTCTGCCCTGTTATTCCATTTCTGGTCTCTTCCAAGAAAAGTATCTGAACTGAGATAATGTGTTAGGTAGAGCACTGTCCTCCCGTTGTTCATCAATTTGCGGGCCCAGTGTGAGACTTTGTTGTTACTGCGTTTGGCATATCGAGTATGTCACGGGTAGAGATTGGTCACTATTTCCTTTCAGCCAAAGATGGTCACAGTTAATTTTCCAACAGCAGCAGAGAGCCAGGTAGCCCACTGGGCAACTCACCATCAAGCCCCCATAGAAGCTCGAGGCCAGGGATGATGGAGCGCAGCTGGGTGTGATCCCGGCACCACAGGGCAAAAAGCCAAGGATCCTGCCTGATGCAGGCCCGGGAGTGGGGCATCTGGGTCTCCCGGGTCGTGACTGAGCCCTGCCTGACGCTGTCTTGCAGTGCTTCGCCGTGCGCTCTCTGGGATGGGTGGAGATGGCCGAGGATGACCTGGCCCCGGGGAAAAGCAGCGTCGCTGTCAACAACTGCATCCGACAGCTGTCCTACTGCAAGAACGACATCCGGGACACGGTGGGCATCTGGGGAGAGGTGAGTGAACCGTGCAGGGGACTCCCCGAAAGCGACATCGTGCCCCGGGCTTCCTGGGTTCTTGGGACGAGGTGGTGCCTGATGGGGGGTAAGGTGAGGGCTGTGGCCCCCATCACGACAGGGGCTATAGTGTGGGGCTCCCCACTGACCTCTTTTTTTTTTGCTTTTTGGGTCACACCCAGCGATGCACAGGGGCTACTCCTGGCTCGTGCACTCAGGAATTACTCCTGGTGGTCCTTGGGGGACTATATGGGATGCTGGGAATCGAACCCCGGTTGACCGCGTGCAAGGCAAACACCCTACCCACTGTGCTATTGCTCCAACCCCCCCCCCCCCCACACACACACACACACACACACTGACCTCTTAACATTGCCAGATTCCCTGGAGCCTGAGAACCTTGGAGAGGCTTTCTGGAGGTGGGGGCAGAGATTCCCCCTGCCTCATGGTTCCCCGAGTCTCTGAAGATGCACAGGTGGGCTCTTGACACCCATAGGTGCCCTGCACCTGCAGGCGAAGGTGGTCATTTGGGCATACAACCACATCCATGTACGGCCAGTATGGACTTCCTGGGCCTGGCAGAGCGGTGAAGCCAGGCCTGCCCTTCATCCTCCTAACACTTGGTTGGTCTCTGACGTCATCATCCTGTTGCAGGATTTCGACTTTGCCAGATGGAGGAAAAACACTCACTCACAGAGCTTTAGAAGTGGGATTTATTCTCACCCCTGGGGCAGACCCAAACTGAGCGCACAGACTTTTTCATTTGCTCCCAGCTAAGAGGACGCAGAGAGTTTATACTTTCCTAGTCCCACAGCGGGGTGGAGCGATAGCACAGCGGGTAGGGCATTTGCCTTGCACGTAACCGACATGGCCGATTCCTCCGCCCCTCTCGGAGAGCCCAGCAAGCTACTGAGAGTATCTCACCCGCACAGCAAAGCCTGGCAAGCTCCCCGTGACGGATTCGATATACCAAACACAGTAACAAGTCTCACAATGGAGACGTTACTGGGCCCACTCGAGCAAATCGATGAACAACGGGAGGACAGTGACAGTCCCACAGGATGTGGGGGAATTTATTCTATTCGGCCCTTTAAATTGTCTACCAAGTTAAGGGCTGGAGGTCGATGCCTGGGGACTCTCGGGCAGGAGGTTTTGCTGGGAAACTTCTGAGAAGAGAAGCGAATGGTCTAGGGGTTTGAGGAGTGCCGGAAGGCTTGTGGTGAAGAGGGCCTGTGCCTGACGTCACGGCTTCACTGCCACCCGCCCCCTGCAGCCGGGGGCTGCCCAGTCGCTGACCCTTCATGCACGAGTGGCCGGAGCTCAGCCCTGGAGCACTGGCCTCGTGTGTGCGGCCCGGGGCTCGGTACCCAGCATAGCCCACAGGAAAAGAAGTGGAGATGTGGCCAGCCCCAGACATAACTTAGTGCTTTCATCCTTTCATCTGGGGATGCCCACCAGCAGTGCTCAGGGGTAGCTGCTGGCTCAGTGCTCAAGGCTGCCCCCAGCGGTGCTTGTGGACCATCTGGTACCAGGGACTGAAGCTGGGCCTCTTGCAGTGCAAAGCTCGTGCTCGGCCCTTGGCCATCCCCCTCGGCCCAGGGTAGCTGTTTGGCTGTATCCAGAATCACCGCAGAGCCGTGCCTCTGCCAGCCAGACCACTCAGGGAGGGAGGCGAGCATGGGAAAGAGCAGATAGCAGGATAGTAGGCTCTGGGCGAGGGTCTGGCAGAGAGGAAGGAACAGCGATCAGAGATTAGGGGGTGCTAAGTATGCAGCGAGTGAAAGACCAGGCCCCACCAGGGGGCTTTCCCCCCCTTAGACTCATAGATGTAAATAGCTCCAAAACAGTAGCCGGAGGAGGGCTGGGGCCTTTGGCAGCAGAGAGGAATGGAGGCTGGGAGGGGCCAGGGAAGATCTAGAATCAGGCTGGAGCCATAGTGTAGCGGGTCGGGTGCTTGCCTCACAAAAGGCTGACCCAGGTTTGATTCCCAGCATCCCATATGGTCCCCCAAACCCAGCCGGGAGTGAGCCCTGAGCATCATGGGGGCTAGCCCAAACTAAAGTAAAACTGTGGTATATATGTGTGCATATATGTGCATGTGTATATATAAATATATATATATATAATTTTGTATATGTGTATGTGTGTGTATCTGTATATGTATGAATGCGCATATATGCATATGTGCATATCCATCCGTGTGTGTTTGTATATAGGTGCATGTGTGTATGTGTATATTTGTGTATATGAGTGTACTGTATATGTGTATATACTATGTGTATGTGTATATATGTGTATTTACATATACATATGTGTAGCACTCGAGCGGGCCCAGTAACGTCTCCATTGGAGACTTTGTTGGTACTGTGTCTGGCATATCGAATACTCTCGGTAGCTTGCCGGGCTCTCCGAGAGGAGTGGAGGAATCGAACTCGGGTCGGCCATGTTGGCCGCTTGTAAGGCGAACGCCCTACCCGCTGTGCTATCACTCCAGCCCTGTCCTCCCATTGTTCATCAGTTTGCTCAAGCGGGCCCAGTAACGTCTCCGTTGTGAGACTTGTTACTGTGTTTGGCATATCGCCCTAACTGCTGTGCTATTGCTCCAGCCCTACATATGTGTATATATGCATATACATGTGTATTGTGGGTATGTGTATATTTGTGCATATGTATTTCTCTGTGTGTTTGTGCACATCCATTTATGTATATGTTTGTATATATGTGCATCTATGTGTGTGTATCTGTATGTGTATGTATCTATGTGTATGTTTGTATATATGTGTTTATGTGCAGTTGTCTTTATGTGTATATATACGTGTATTTGTGTATATGCATGTGTATATTTGCGTATGCACATACATATATATGGCGAGCTGGAGATGTTTCCTGTCTCTGAAAATGAATCACTGACCCCAGGATGGCACTGCCGGTTCCCCCCCCCCCCCCCCGCCCGCCCCACAGTTGGGTGAGATCCCACAAGAGGCCAATTTTTCTCCCCGTGTCGCAGGGCAAGGACATGTACCTCATCCTGGAGAATGACATGCTGAGCCTGGTGGACCCCATGGATCGCTCGGTGCTGCACTCCCAGCCCATCGTGAGCATCCGTGTGTGGGGTGTGGGCCGAGACAATGGCCGGTGAGTGCCCCCCCGGTCCCTACACTCCTGCCCGTTCTGCTCACCCTCTGGGGCTCCCCTCCCAGGCCCTGTCTGTGCCCCTCTCGCCTCTCTCTCCTCCAGAGTCTGTTGGGTGCAGACGTTTACTACATTGTTTTCTCCCTGAGTCGCATTTTCTGCTCTGGGGCCGGGCTGATGGAAGACACCGGTGTGTGGCAACTATGAAAAGCGAGGCGTCCCCAGGGCCTTTCATTACACACTTTGGATGGTTGTAGTTGTGGTGATCAGAAAGAACTGCTGGGGTTGGGGGTCAGCTGAAGTTTTTTGAGCGCCTAAAAGAAAGATCTGGTCGTGTCCAGATTCCATTTGATGTGGAATTTTGGCTTAAGTTCTACTGAGAATCTGTTGTTTGTAGCAAGTACTTCTTAGATGCAAGCCAAAGGTATTGGCTCGGAAGATGAAGACCAGGATGCGCCAAAAGTCAGCAAGTCCTGGTTTTCTTCTTAGGGCAGTCCTCCTGGGCATCTTGTTAAGTAATTAGACTCTGATGCGTGCAATTAAATTAAAATTCATCTGGGCAACGCAGGACACCTGACGATCTCCTGGATGATCTCTGATTAAGGGTTGATCGTAGCGGAGCTTCCCCAGCTTTTTCCACTCGAGGCCCCTTTTCACTGAGAAATTATCAGCCCAAGGTGAGCACCAGAACCACCTTAGATTCCGTATGTGCTGGATTTCGAAATAGTTCTTGGTCCTTGTGTACTATTGACAGATTTTCCCCAGCCACCCACCCTCAATCAGTTACATAACCCCATATGGAGTCAGAAACCCCATCTGAGAAAGTGAGGGGGTGATTCCTTACTGCTTAATTGGAAAGGACCAGAGTGCTTTTGAAATTCCAGAGACGTGATTTTTGTGGGTGGTGTGGCCCTCTGGGCAAGAGTTTACTGCGTTCAGGAATCACCTGAAGAAAGTGAGAAATAGCAGCAGGGGAGAGAGCACTGCCCGCCCGCCGCTGAACCTGGTGTGAATCTCCAAGCACCGCTAGGGTTCACCCCTGAACACTGCTGGCTACAGCCGCAAAACTAGAAAGAAAAACTACTGCAACCTGGTTCCTCTCCTCCCCCAGCAATGATTCTGATATCCCTGGCATGGCTATGGTCTGACCCGCAACCCTGTTACTAAGAATATTAGAAAGACGGCAGAAGTTCCCAAAGCTCTCCAGGATTCCGTTGAAAGGAAAATTGTGAGAACCCCACTCCCTTCTGCAAGGCTCTGCCTTGATTTATCCCAGCCTTTATCCACCACAGCTGGGCATTGGCAGATAGGTAGTATTTTTATTTGATTTCAAGTCTTAAGTCAGAAAGAAAAGTGATCCAACATTTAGCAGTCAAAAAACACAAGCCTGGGGCTGGAGCGGTAGCACAGCAGGTAGGGCGTTTGCCTTGCACGCGGCTGACCCGGGTTCGATTTCCAGCATCCCATATGGTCCCCTGAGCACCACCAGGGGTAATTCCTGAGCGCAGAGCCAGGAGTAACCCCTGACCATCGCTGGATGAGACCCAAAAAGAAAAAAACAAAAGAAAGAAAAAAGGAAGGCTTTTTTGCTAGTAGAACCTGGCCTGGGAAAACTACAGTACTTGTCCTGCCTGCTGATTGGACAGCCCCGGTCCTCGCTGCTGATTGGACAGCTTTGTCCTGATTGCTGATTGGACAGCCTTTTCAGGAAGCATAGTTGTATTTTTGAGTTACAGAAAGCTGAGGGCAACAGCTGGGCCAACTGTTCTGGGGGGATGCGCTTCCTTATTATTCATGCACATCTGTTGCTCTTTTGCTCTGCAGTGATGGGGCACTGAGGTTGTGGTACATTACCTTGAGTTGATTGATTTTACAAGGAAAGTGCCCGGTGGTATTTGGTTGTTACTGAAAACATTTATCCCTGGGGCAGGACTGATGATGGCACAGAGGTTAAGGTGCTCCTCTTGCATGCAGTCCATCCCAGTTCCATCCCAGGACCAAGTGTCCTTCCCCCACCCCACCCCACCCCACCCCAAGCACAGTGCTGGAAGCAACCCCCAAGCACAGAGCCAGGAAAAGCCTCCGAGCACCGCTGAGGGTTGGGCCTCCAAACAAACCCGAGTTCCATCCCCAGTACCACCTATGGTATCTGGAGCCCCTGCAGAAGGGACCCCTGAATGCAGAGCCAGGAGTAAAGCCCCAATTACTTCCGGGGTGACACAGGAAAATCAAGCCGTGCTGGCTGGGTGTAAGAAGCTTATGATCAGGGCTGGAGCAATAGCACAGCAGGTAGGGCGTTTGCCTTGCACACAGCCGACCCACATTTGACCGATCCCAGGCATCCCATATGGTCCCCCAACACCGCCAGGAGTAATTCCTGAGTGCGGAGCCAGGAGTAACCCCTGAGCATCGCCGGGTGTGACCCAAAAAGGAAAAAAAAAAAATAAGAAGCTTATGATCTCCCTGGTTCCTGGCTCCCGGCTTGGTTTGGCAGACAAAAAAACACGTGACGACACTGAGACACACCCATTCAACCAACCGAGCACCACTGGGGGTTGCGTGGTTGTCAGGATGACAACAGACTCCATTGCTGAGATGTTCACAGCTTCTTATTGTGATACCTAATGCTACACGCTCAGGGATAACAAAAGGATTCAAACTCCATTTGACAAAATGATTCAAGTTCTGAGCCCCAGAGTCCCTCATGCATGTTTATGCAGCCAACGGCACAGTGGTGGAAATGCAGCAGATAAAGTGAGCTTTAAAAAAAAAATCCTAGAAGCCACACCAGCTGTGCTTGGGGGCTCAGGACCCCACCTGATGTTAGTGGGGGTGGCCAGGGGCAAGGTCAGGGGTTATAGGGAACACACTCAGGGCCTCGAACAAACTAGGAATGTGCTCTCTTCCCCTTCCCTCCCCTGGTTACACATGTTATGTTAGGAAAGGCTTGACATCCGATTGATTAGCAACGTACACAAGCAGACAACAGAGCATCCTTTCAAAGATGCTCTGACCTCCAGGGCTTCAAGGGCACTTCGGGGCCATTATTTGACGCAGAGCACAGAGGCTGCTCTTGAGACTGAGTTCTGGCGTCCTGGAAAGCATGACGAGACCTGGACCCCACCCCAGCAGGGACATCAGAGTCAGTGGTACTGTGTTGCCTTGGTGATGATTTTGAATTGTGGGCTGGGCTGCCCTTGTGTTTGAGCCCACTGCTGGCTAATTGTTGCTCAGTATGGGGGGAGAGTGTATTTTCCAAACATGTTCCTGTTTCCTATTCTGGTAGGAGGCCGTGGAACTGGATTGCTTTGAGATGCAGGAGATTTAAAAAAGTAGATGTTTACCCGTGAAGAGTTTCCATTTCTCTTTGTAGAGTTTTCATTCCCTAGAAGAAGCCTTTGTATTCCTGCCTTTTTTATTTTTTTTAACTTTTGATTTTTTTTTAACAGCAATTTACAAGAGCAAATTCAATTTGTAAGTCTGCAAAGGTTTTCACTTGGCGTGAATAAAACATAAAAGTGTTTCATTTTGTTTGCAGAAACAGAGCTCATTTGGCATTCTCTTTTGTAACTCTCCTTGCTGTGGAAGATGGGATCTCTGAGGGGATTTCACGATGTGGGTTAAGATGAATTTTAACAAGAATGCATAGTGTGCACGCTCCGGGAAAGGGCACATAACTGTCTCTTGAAATTCAGAGTGCTTGGCTGAGTCGTGGAGTTTTCAGAACTGCTCGTGCTGTGCGTGGTCTCTGGATTCCATGAGGCTCTCAGGAGGTTTTGATTAGCACTGAGGAGCTCCCCACCGGAGTCCATTTCCCTCCAGGGAGGAGTCTGTGCAGCCCTGATGGCCCCTGCACATCCCTGCGGTGGATTTGGAGAAGCCTCTTTTGATGTAAGCAGCTGCTGTGACGGGCGCTGTGCCCTGGGCAGGTGGGGAGAGGGGCAGCTCATCCTGCCACTTCCGCTGTGTCCTCCTGTCCTGCCTCTGATGGTGCTTGCTGGTGCCCATGCCGTTCTCACAGGGTAACACTGACGGACCCCCTCTTCTGGACACTCTATCCTTTGCGACTACTCGTTGGTTTGATTTCTGGGTCATGCCCAGTGATGCTGAAGGGTTACTCCTGGCTCCGTGCTCAGGGATCACTCCTGGTGGGGCTCGGGACCCTATGGGGCACCAGAGATGGAATTGAGCTCGACCTCGGCTGCACACTGGGTGGGCACCTTACCCACTGTATTGTCTCCTAGGCTTCCTGTTTCTCGCCACAAGATAATATCAGTGATGGGTGGAAGGGGGTTCACTGGGAGCCTCAGGGCTTCAGCCAAACACAGCACTCAGGTTCTTGTCCCCAGGCCACCCAAACAGGAAGCAGGAGACCATATTCCATGGCCAAATGCGGAAGAGATTTTATTTAAGAAGATGGGAAGGGGGTGGGAGGCAGACAAGTAGGGGGGTCCCAGAGGATAGGAGGGGACCTTCATCTCCTTCGCAGGGTTCTGGGGAAAGGCAGAAGTTCACCTCTCTCCTGTCTCTGGACGAGGGCCGAGTGAGCACTTCTTACTAGCTTCTAGCAAGTGGTACCAAGCAGTGGGGTATGCAGATGATGGTCCAGGTCATGTGACCCAGCCTGGGACAGAGGGCGGGGGTGGGGGAGATCCTCCCGTGCAACAGATCCCCTCCACACACTGCTGCTTCCGTTCTCCCGGTTCGGCCTTTTGTTTTTGTTTTTTTATTAGTGAAACACCTTGAGGTACAGTTGTAGACTTACAAATTTTTGTGCTTGGGTTTCCGTTGTACAATGATCGAGTACCCATCCCTCCACCACCACTGATGCCAGTACCCCTCCCACCCCCAATCCCCCCACACCCCACCCTGCCTTTGTGGCAGGGCATTCCCCTTTGTTCTCTCTACTTTTGGGTGCTGTGGTTTGCAAAAAAGGCACCGAAGGTAATCATGCTCATTCTACAGTCTACTCTCACATGCATCTCCCATCCTGGGAGGATCCT